ATGGATAACTTCCCTGTCTCCAATCACACATGGACTCTGCAAACAAGCCTTTCCTTCGTTAGCAGCTTGATGCCTCAGACTTCCCCTTAGCACTTCGTAGCACGCTGCTTCTGATGGCTTTTCCGTGATGGCTCACGGTTGGGAAAGACCAGAACTGGCACAAACTTCACACGATTAAAATGAATCCCATTCTCTCAAATTAGCTTTGCCACAAGTGTAAGGAAGTGGAGGGAAGGTAGAGCCAAAGGGACACATGAGGGTGATGGGGCACAAATGAGGACCCTTCTGAGGCATCTGCTCAAGAACGGCAGCTGGAGGAACCCAAAGCGGGTTTGCCATCCTGCACCTTGCAGCCCGCGAAAGGCATGCAGCTCACCGCCCGCTCACGCGGGCGGCAGGGGACCGACAGGCACCTGACAGTGGTGAGAAGGGTGTAATGTGATGTGGAGGACCGCGAGGGCAAAGAAATACTGGACAGCTCAAGCACTACCGTGCTGGGGTCCTGCTGCTGGCATGTGCAGGCGTGCTCTGCAGCGAGGTGCATGTAGGCAGATCTGCAGAGCTGGCGTTACTGCACAGCCCGGATCCATGCTGTGTCGTTAAATGTTTCTAGGTCTTGCCTGGCCTCTGTACACCTTAACCAAGACAGGAGATTCTGGGGGGCTAGATCTGGCCTGTCATTCTGTGTTTGTGGAGCCCCTCCATAAGCAGTCCCTCATTTTGGTTTGGTTTCTGAAGCTTTGCTGCAAACACATTATACATACTAATGCAACATCACCTGCAGAGGGGGAGGGCTACGTACAGCACACAGACAGCTGTTTGAGCTGCTTCGCTGCCCACAAACAGAACAGAGAAATGCATCTGAGATCATGACAACCAAAAATGTGGTGACATTTACATGCATTTTCATATGACAGTATTTTCAAAAAAAAAGTATTATACAGAAGAAGTAGTCAGACTCATGACCAGCTTTAGATTTTTTCAAACTGAAATATTATACAATGATTTGAACAAAATAATTTCTCCTCTAATACTGGTACAATGTGTTGTAGTCACAGTCACTTTTGATTTGGGATTTTGTTAAACTGTGAGTGTGGGGGGAGGGAGAGGCGGGCAACTGGTTACAGATGTGATAGATAAGGTAGGGGTACACAGGACTCATCCTCTCCTCAGCCCTGAGGAGTTGGAAAGGTAAGAGTCACTGGGTGGGAAGCCCCAGCCGCACTGGGGACGGTCCTGGGTCAGGGCTGCCAAATAGCTGTTGTCGAAGGGGATGTTTCCCCTGGCAGCAGGGTCAGCTCTGCATCTAAAAATGCTGTGTCCACTGGAGGGCTCTTCTGGGGCAGTGTGTGTCAGTGCCCGAGTGCTCTTGCTCTTACTCCATGGGCTCTGCTCCCCTCCGCACAGATGTGTCTCACTTCTAGATAGTGCCCTGCCAGTCCGAAAACCAGCTCTGCCTGTCAGAGCTCTCCTTTCCCTGGCTAGCGGGCAGATCATCACTGAAGTATGGAAGATCTCCCCAAAACCACTGTGATGAAAATACCTGGGTGCTACAGGGGCTGTTCCCACTCCACCTGATTCTTTGCAAAACCTTACAAAATCTTCAGTGGTTTTGATGTGTTCATGAAAGAGGTGCGGTTTCGTCTCATGGTGTTTACGAGGCCTAACTTCCCTTTCTCCCCAACAAGCCCGGGATCAGCCCGTGGAAGCCTGTTGAGTTTTGCAGCGGGTGGAAGGAAGCTCTAAGATGGTCCAGCGAGAGGGACCCAGCATCGCCCTGCAGGGCCCAGCTCCCCTGGCAGCCAGCTGACCAGCTGATGGGTGCTTTCACTCACCGCCCCAGCTGAGGGACCCCTCACAGAGATGCAGAGCTGCAGTGGAGCTGTGGGACACCAGTCATCCTCCCTGCAGACTGGGGACCTGAACCTGCTGCCCCCAGTATGGCAGCAGCTCTGCCCTCACCTGCCCCTGCAGCCCCTGGTTCCCCCAGGCACACAGGGAGGCTCGCTGCCGGAGCTGCTCGCCGAGTGCAGAAACTCGGGGTGTGCCCAGGGCTGCGCCTCGGTGGGTCTCACACCCGTGGCCCTGGGGAGACATCCTGGTCAGCTGCGCGAACACGTGGCGGCAGAGCCTGTCTCCAGCTTACCTGGAGGTGAAACCCAGCGTACGCCGATGGGGAGCAGCGCAGACGTGGGCAGCCAAGCTGATCACGTTCCAGATCACAAGAGTCACCTTTTGCTAAGGCACCTTGTGTGGGTTTTTCCATTATTTTGTTTGGCTTTATTTTGGTCCTTTAAAAATGTTCTTTATTGGTTTTCTCAGCCACTTTATTGTTTGTATTTTGTGTTCTGAGCTCCTCACTGACCCTTTCATGTAAAAGTTTCAGGACAAATTCTGCTTCAGAGCTGTTAGATGTCTCAATAGCTGGGCTGAAATCAATGCACTTACTCTGCACACCCATCTCCAGAATATGGCCCTTTATTTCACAATGTCTATCTCACCTGTACAGAGGGAAACATCAGGTATTTCTTGGTACCTCACATTAAATTAATCAGATCTCATCAGAACAGATGAACTCAAAAATATCAGAGACACCAAGCCAATTACCAGATTAAAGGTTTCTGTATCAAATACATCTGTGCTGTACCAATGCTGGTTTTAAACAGAGAAAATGGGACATAATTCAAAATATCTTTACTTGTCTTAGCCATGACCTTGGGGCCTAAGTCCCATCTTCCATTTATTTTACATTTTCTCTTTTTTGCAACATAGGCCATGACCTAGCAGAGTGCTTAGGCACATCATTTATTTTAAGATTCTGAACAACTGCTGTGAAACTGTACTGGGGGCATGTAAGTGCCCTCCTGAATCAAAACCAGAGTCTTTAAGTCCCAAATGAATACAAAGTTTCCAGCATCAGAAGTGAGTTGGTAAATTTAGTTAATAAGGAGGAATTTTATCTTTCGAAGTGTTTTGTAACATTGCACAGAAAGCACTGAAGCAACGATGACTTGACCACTTATTTTGCAGCTGTGCACAGGAAACCTCCATGCCCAAGGGATAGATCCCTGCTGTACTGTACCAGAAAACGCCAAATTTCCACCAGTGAGATTCAACACACAAAACCACATCCTTCCCTTGCCACGAAACCTGAAAAAGTCACTCCGAGACAAGTGAAGTTTTATGACTTTGGGCAGTGACCAGCTGTAGCGCTGATGACAGACGAATAAATAGATTTGATGACCCTATGGTGAAGAAAGTCTCTTCTTGCCCTATGGGCAGCGTGAAGGCACAGAAGACAACTTTCCAAAACAATGCTGTACTTCACCATCTCTCAGCCGAGGCCATGGGCACATTTGTAACAGAAACGACCACTGATGTTCCCCTCCCTAGGGAGCTGTCACGCTGCGCTTCAGTGGAGCACAACAGCACCTCTCTTCTTCCTCAGCGCAACGTGCAAGGCTTCACATAAGATGCTTTGAGATCCTCAGCTGGCAGGAGCGATTCGTCTGATTATCTGCCCCAGCACCCTGACGCCCCACAACGACCCGCACGCTCCCCATGCTGAATGGCAACGAGTGTGAGAAGGTGCATTTCACACAGATGGGTGTTACGAGGTCCCTCAGGAGGAAGGTTGAGGGTGACTGGTGTGAACATCAAATGAAAGACCAAGACAAACACAAGCAGACACACATATATAATATGTACAGTGGCCATAGATGCATTTGCACCATGAAGGAAATAATCAAATCTTAAACCGCAGGAAATTATAAAATTCCAGATTTTTTTTAGTGCCAGGTGCCTCTGACTAACTTGTTAGTAAAAAGAGAAGGAACTGTCCAGATATGGGTTGAATGAAGTGGTGCAGCTGTCAGATGTGGTATTATTTCCTCACTCTATTTCAGACAAGAAATGCAGAATTCTATTTTGCACTACAAGCTGTGGACAGAAAATTATCTCAGTAGTTTTTGTTTTGTTTTGTACCTTTTCTCTCACTCTATTCAGCTTTTCCAATAGAGCCACCAGTATCGAAATACAGAGCTGAAGTACAGACATGAATTTAGGAAGCAGAAAATCCCAAGCCTCTCTGTAGGGTTTACATGACTGAGGCTTTCAGAGCAGACTGAGATAAGGCAGTGTAAGGAAAGCCCTGATCTAAATGCTCCCCAGGTGGTCTCAGTCCATGGCCAGTGGATTTTTACAAGTCTGTGGAGCACTGCTAACATGAAGTATCTAAGAAAATTAAGCCCACTACCGCTAAGCTTAAATTCACCAAGGAGGAGGCTGGACCTCTGTAAGAAAACTACTGGGGGGTCCACAAGTTGTCAGAAGTTGAAAACCATTGCTCTGGTTACAAAATCACATTGCCAGTGAGTTTAGGCAGTGATAATTTGAAATATTTACTCCTGAAATTCACGGTATGTAGTGATGTGAGAAAAGGAACTGACACGGGAGGCTGCACTCCGGTAAAAATCAGTTGGCCCATACGGAGTATTAAAGGACTGCACGATATTCCATCTACAGACACCTACAAACACTGCGTTAGGCTGTACTAATTACTGGCTTACACAAGAGGCAAAGAATGAGCTTGGGAAACAGGGGGATATGGAGATAACAGTATCATCAGCAGCTGTTTTTTCCTTTGCTAATGTTGCTACTCTCCAAAATTAAGATGCTGGCTAGAACTAGGATTTTGAAAAGACTGAAATTATCAGCAAGACTCTGCTGAAAGAAAAGTGTGCTCCCTGCATTCCTGTAAGAAAGACTGGGCTGCTTGCAATTCAAAACGTTTAATAATAAAAGAAAAAAAATCAGAGCACTGTATGTTGGTGCTGCTAACCCCTCTGGTGTCGGCCTGGGTGGGGAGTGCAGAAAGGCTACTCAGCAGTGTGGATGGGGGACTCCCGCCCTGGGGATGGAGAAGGGGCAATTCCAGAGCATGCATGTCACTGGGGCTGGTGGTCTAAGCCTTGATCAGTGAACACGTCAGCTGGGAGGTGCTACAGTATTGTGGCTCCGGCAGCATCCACGCTCCTGGGGTCCTTCAGGCCAATGATGAAACTGTTGGTTCTCCTGGCCCCGTGAACTAGGGAGACCACTTTGACTTTATCCACTTGATGGCCCATGGCTACAAGAAATTCAATGTCTTCTTCAGGAAACTCACCTGTAGGGATTTTAAAAGAGGAGTTTGTAACTGAAACCACTGTTGCCTTTGAGGTAAAGCTCTGTTCTAAACCTCTTGGGCTCTGCAGCCTGAAGGAAACTGCCTGTGGCCGCTTCAGGTATCCCAGCTAGGTCAAGCCAAGCTGCCAAGGAGGACGAGCCCTCATGGCTCCGAGGAGCGGTCTCAGTGCTCTGTGTGGTGGGAGAAATGAGAGGATCCAGAAGACCACTTAAGGAAGATCCTCCTCTTTGGAAAAAGGGGAAAATACGTTGTTGGCACCTATTGCAGATATTCTTCTTACAGAACATGAGGCACTCCCTGCTCTTAAAAGCCTAGTTACAAATAATAGTATTAACAGTTATTAGTCAAATTAAGATGCAAGGCAGCTCAAAACAAATTACAGTAAAACAAGTTGCCAAATGACAAACTTTGTGATAAGCCTTCCAACTTCCCCTTCACATATTTCTTAATCTTCCAGGCATCTACCTTAGGCTGCTTGCTCTTCTTCTTTTTTGTTTACATGATGCTTTGTAATTTCTGTATGAATAGATGTGCCTGAGGCTACAAGGCTGCGGATGGAGCTGGACAAACCCAGCAAGCACACAGCTCTTTACGCTGTGTACATTGCAGATGTGTCTTAACACATATGTTGTTGAAGCCAAATGTCCAAACCCACAAATTGTCTTTGATTTAATTAGATTAATTACATTTTTCTACATTAGGGAAGGCCTAGAAACTTTGGCTATTTTGTGTAAAAGAGGGACCAAATTTCACCTGTGGTTCACTCTGGTAAGGTATGGGGCTTTGTGAAAAACACCCAATAGACCAAGTCACGTAATAACAAGGACAAGAGCTGGCAGTACAGTCTGCAGCGTGTCAGCACTGATGCTGCATTTCCAGCACTGTCAAGCTATAAGCCTTCCCATAAGCCTTGTCTTCTCCCCAGCTGGTGGACTGAAGGGACACGGACTGGAAAGTGAATATCATTGATATCTTTCAGGATCTGTCTGGGTGAAACTGTGGTTGCAATCTTGTTTATTTGGATATCCTCAATGGCATCAGATCACCAGAAGTGTTCAAGGACAGGACAAGGACAAGGCTGCTAGCAGGAAGTGAGCTGGGACAGGAGGGTTTGGGAGGAGCACCTGAAAGAGTTTGGACAGGTGGTATTGGAGAGGCTTGGGAGCATTCCTAAGATAAGAGGGGGAGGGCATGGCTCAGCAAGGGCTCCAAGCTTTGTAGAAGCTAGGTTGCTGCTTTTTGTCTTCCCCAAAACTTTCCGCACCCACCGGGGACCCTAGAACACAGTTGTTATTGGCTGGGCTGTCGCACTTCCACAGCAGTGTGCTAAAAAAATCCTGCTCCTTTTCTAAACATGCCAGACTTGTAGGCTGCACCACACCCAGGGTCCATACTCACTGTCAACCTGCAAGGTGTTGGACTGCAGCTGTGGGTGAAGTCGTCCAAGTGACAAACTTTCACTCAAATTCTTGTTAAATGTTAAAACATTGAGCAAAACCTGGGAGAGAACAAAAGATCATCAGTAATAAAAAAAGTCATGAGAACAGGAGAAGCCAACGTCCCGAGCATAACCCTAATTGATAGCTCCAAAAATCTGCAGATGCTGCAGGCAAAGAAGATTTTGAACCATTTACCAAACTTCATGAACTAATGCAGGTGTTTGCACATATAAAGAAGCCCTTGAAATATGGCCTGTATGTTGCTGGTGGAAAAGCGGGACCTTTTCAGGGTTGCATGGGCTTTTTCCCACATAGTTCCTGCTAAATTAGGAGAGCTGTGTTTCTGGAACCTGATGTGATCTCTAAATAAGTGTTTGTTACAGCCAAAAGCTCAGCGCTTGACTTCTCCAAACAAAGCATTAGGAAGCAATGTTTGGCTTTAGTTTTGCTCTGAATAATGCCTTCCAAAAGGTAAGGAAAAGGGGAGCCATTCATGCTGTGCATTTCTTTGTAGCAATCTATTGCTGTTGTGCATGCAATCAAGCTATTGGCAAGTACTTCACCTCATTACAAATCATACATCAGGAAGAGCTGCCCAATTTATAACAAGTCCTGAGCAGGCAGGAATTCAGTCAAGAAAGCACTAAAAGGAGCTTTTCATAGGGAAAAGGGCTAAAGGACTGCCAGTCTACTGGAATTCCATGAGTACAGAATGGTCCTGGTTTTTCTTCCCTAAAGATCCTTAAGACAAGCTTTGAACAGGTATTAGAATGACACAAAACCATTATAGATTTTGCCAAGGTACTTTTCCTCTACAATTATGAGTGGTGCCACCAGAAAAAGTGCAAGTGAAGTAAACCAGTAGCATTTAAAGATTTGAGAAACCGAATGTGTGGAACTGGTGACATCAAAGACCTCTCAGCTGCTCCGAGAGGGCAGGGCCTGGACACAGCACTGACCTGAACGATGCTGCTCAAGGCTTTGTCCCCATTGTTAGCTCCCAGACACAGGTACGTCCCACACATCCCCTCAGATGGTCTCACAATGGTGGGCAACAGGAAAGACAGGGGCCGTTTCCGAGGCTGAACGAGATTTGGCTGCAATTGAAGAAAAGACACACCAAAAAATTTCAACAAGCCGACCAAAGCGTTGCTAGTGCTCAAGTTGTGCAGGTTAATTTCTTACTCCTCAGCCAGAAATTGCAGCTGTATAGTTTTCCAAGGCTGACAGCCTCGCTGCTATGGTGATGTTCTCTTATGTTAACAGGATCTGTCCTGACCGTGGCTGTCTTACACAGAAGGTATGCAGAGCCATTCACCCACTTTTAAAGTACCAGCACAGCAAAACGGGGTGGTTTTACAATACATGTCAAGAAGAAACAACAAGGCAGCACTGGAAGCCACCAAGTACTGTTCTGTAATTGTTTCTTTCCAGGAACTGCTGTTACTTTTAAACCTGAAGAGCAGTAATTCATAAAGAGAGCCCTTAATTCAAGTCCACACAAAAGAATGGTTGATTTAAAGTGCCTCTGGATTGCAGGGAAAATAAGTATCCTGAGATGTGCAGCATCGTTTGATAAAACTGCATTTTAATGATAACAGATACACATGAAGCCATACGTTTACTCATTTCACTGGCTCATATAATGAAAAAAATAGGAGCTTTCTACAGACTGTTGCCTCTCCGTTATTGATAAGGCATTAAATAGCTTCCCTGTTGTGCAGATGAGAATTGAACAAAATGGTACAGACAGCTCAAATAAAGAATCTGTCACGTCATTCATTACCGGCCTGGGACTGGAGTGGTTCATTGTTTTATTTTGCCAGGAGAAGTCCAACATCTGACTGTTTAGGAGGACTCCAGAGGGTGTTATTATTCCACTGCCAAAGGGACGATTCAAAGAACTGAAAAGAAAAATGAAAAAATATCATAAAAATCCTCCCTGAGGTATTTGTAAACCTCGAGGCTTTCAGGGCTCCAATTTTCTGTCCCATCTTGGCTTGATAGAGACTCTTCAGTAGTTCTTTAGGGCTGATTAGATGTGAGGAGTGAAAGTCTCCATGTATGAGGGGCAGGAACCATGTGGGCGTTAGCAGCTCTGTCCCTCCGTGCGTTTAAGGAATCCCTTCTAGGTGATGGATCTGTCTCTATGCCCCCATCAGTCCTTGAATCTGGCCATCACCTCTTCTCCAGAGCGCGGATTCAGGCCAATCCAGACATGTTTCACTGTGAGAGGGCTGTGGGATTGCACAGGGCAGAGCAGCACCAGCTCACATATCTCCCCTATCTTCCCCATTCCTCCTGTTGCAGGACTAACTGGGACAGAGCAGACCAGCTGCTCCAGGTCTGGTCCCACCCTGACCCATCAAACCTCCATTCTTCTCTCTGCTCCCACCCTCTGAGTACATTATGGAGGGAAGAAGTAAATCCTTTACCTTACAACCACAACAATGAAGTCATCGGGTCCCATGACAAGGACTTGGCTAGCAGCGGGTCCGCTCTCCATGGGGAAGTGAGGCATGTGGAGATCAGACGAGAAGAACTGGGAGTCATTAATCAGGTGGCGCAGGGAATTAGCTTCTGATTTACTTCAGCAATAGAGGGAGGAAAAGAGGAAAGAAAGCCGTAAGTCCAGGAAGCTGAACATCTGTTGGTCTCTCTGTGGGGGTACATCTGCACAGCTACTGGCAGTGTCTCTCTCAGGGGGCTGCCACCGAGGACAGGGAGCACCTTCGGTTCACCCGATGGAAGGAGACAAGATGGACAAGGGGTGGCACCACCCGACTGAATGCCAGTCCCCCAGGAGGAGGGCAAGTCAAGTCCAGCTCTGGCCACCAAACCTGGCTAAACCTGGTGCTGAGGTGGGAGGCTGGGCTGAAATCCCAGGCCTGGCCTCTCCCGCGTGTCTGGGTGTACTGCAAAGGCACCGAGCCCCATGGTGGGCAAGGGAGAGCCAGAAACTGCATGTGTGGTCATGACCATGTGGATGGCTGTTTGTCCGACCTGCTGAGAAGGAATATTTAGAGGAATGAGGAAGTGGAAGGCATACTCAAGATCAAACTGACTCCAGGGAACTTCTGTGTGAGGACAACCCATGACCCATCCCCAGTGCCTCGTAGTATCAGCTGTGATCTTTGTGGAAGAGCGAGCCCTAGGAGGACACTCAAGAACTGACCTTTCCTCAGTCAAACAGAGGTAGAAAACCCTCGTGTTTCCCTGTGCACTGAAACGAGCAAAACCAGGAACAATATCCAAACCACACACCTCGCACCTCTCACCGTGCCTTGTCAGCCTCAGACCTACCTCACCATTCGTTCTGCAGCGTGAGTGACGGACAAATCATCAGATGGGTCTCCCAGGTTGCTAGCTAGACTCAGGGCTATTTTTAGAGTCTAAATTCAACACACAAAGAAAGAAAGGAAGAAAGAACAAAAGAAAGAAAGAAAGAAAAACATTTAGGTGACCCTGGAAATACAACTTTTGATACTCCAAACAGGAAGAGGTATCTGGTCTCCTGGCATGTTGGCTAAAGCCGAGGAAGAAACATGTCTAAAAGCCTGGGAATACCTCAGTGCCAAGGGCTGCCACACATGGGCATGGAGACCAAAGGGCATCAGTTTGGCAAGGCAGAGTGTGTGCTGGGGGAGCCGAGCGTATCCAGCAGTGTCTGTACAAGGTGGAACATGCCTGGCAGGAGCTGACTGGGTGGCTCAGCCCGGCTCAATGGTTTGGCATTGACAGCTGGTCACCAGGATGCCACTTATCTTCTATTTCCACTCTTGAGTGGTCATTGCAACAGAACTGTCACACTGAATTCCAGTGGGACAGTGGGTCCTGGGCTCACCGTTGCCTCTGGACGGCAGCTCCACTGGCACAGCACCACTGCTGAGCAGAAATGAGCTATTCTGCTCACCAGCTGCTACTCATGTTCCTAGTCGCAAGTCATCCCTCTGTTGGTCATGCAGGTGGGCAGTGATGAGCTTGAGGAGAGGAATCCAAAAGCCATCAAAAGAGACTTCAGGGCACTGGGGCGAATGGTCGCAGGATCGGGAGCACAGGGAATGTTCTCCTCCACCCCCTTAGCAGCAGGGAAGGGCACTGAGATAAACAGGAAAGCACACCCAGTCAACACGTGGCTCAGAAGCTGGTGTGAACGGTGGAGTTTTGGGTTCCTGGAGCCCAGTCTGCAAGCCAGCTTCATCGGGAGCCCACCTTAAATGCCTCTGTGCGAACGCACGGAGCGTGGGGAATAAGCAAGAGGGAATGGAGGTCTGTGCACGCATGAGGGG